TGAGGGCGGGACAAGAAAAAGTGGATAGAAACTAATCAAGGAGACAACCAACCTAGAACTTTTTTACCATTAATAGTGCATACTTACAGACAAAATGAATTAGAATTGCAAAATGAATTGCAATTCTGTTTGCAAAGATCTGTTTGCACAAGTGTTTTTCCCCCCCATCAATGAATTAGGTACAGATTTGGTTTTTTTCAGGTTTTTTTCTTTTTTTTTTCTCTGCATATTTATAAGGATTACAGTCTTTATTAACTAAATAATCATGAATGAATTTAATATAATATATTGAATGTTCCTGAGAAAACTGAGTGACCGTTTTAAAATCACTGGAAGATTTAAAACCTTCACTGCTCTAGACCGTAATAGTAAATTTTATTGCCCTGGGATGCTGCAATTATCACTCTTTTGTGTATTATAAATGATTAGAGACTGCAATATTTTTACAATATTTTTCAATTTTTAAACATTTTAAATATCTTTGTGGATTTTTGTGGACTATCTTTATATAATTCTTATATTATATATGCTTTCAGAAGTCGTGGGTGCTTCATCACTGGAGGTTTTTAAGAGACTGGACAGTCACTTGTCTGAAATGAGATAGGGACTCTTGCTTGAGCATAGTCCTTTCCAACTCTGTTATTCTGTTATTACCATCATGTATTAGAATCAATCAGCTGGCAAATCAAAGTGTGAAGTGCCATGTGTTAGCATTTCAAGGCTTCACCCAAATGATTTTCTATAGGCAATAAGCTAAAGATTTTCTCGACATCTACAAAAATATTTTTTATTCAGATTTACATGGGAGTATTTTAACCAGCCTTAATAAGGATAAGGTGTGGGTAAGCATATCTAGGAGACATGCTGTAAAAAAGAATTAACATGTATTTGATATTTAATATTTAGTCCTATGTATGTGTAATCAAAAGCAGGTCTCAGTTTAACAAGACTTTCACTGAGCAACTGGCACCAGACTGCAATCTTATTTCACAAATACTTGTTTATGGAAAACAGAAAAATACAGCTTCCTTCTTTACAAAAAAATGTGAGCACCTTTTAATACTTCAAAAGTATTTAAAGGTTGAACATGTTACATTTTGGCACTAGGATTAAAAAAAAAAAAAAACCTCCCCATCTGAGCCTGAACAGCTCCACGAAAACAGAACATTCCTTTCTTTGGGGGCAGTGGAAAAAAAATCTGTGTTGAGTCTGACTCATGGATTTTTTCACAGCTTGTGACTGTAATCACTATCAAAGCCAGTGCTCTTTCCAGGGTCAGAAGGCCTGTCCATTTCTCTTCTATATGAAACTAAGCAGTCTGTCTTTTTTTCTCTGCCTTTCCCTCATTGTTGTGATGTAATCGAATAAATACTTTTTCACCAGTTTGGATCCACCCATTCCACATGATGACTGTACCTTGCTGACTTCAAGAAAGCTTCTGGACACACCCTTCTTATCAGAAACTCTAACCATTTCAGGAATGTAAGAGGATAATTCAACTTCCTTCATAGAAACCCAATAAACCTCTAGTAATAAAACTACACATGTAGGATTGGTTTAACCACTCAAAGCTCAACAGCTTAGCTTGTCTAGCTCAGAAGCTGGTAGGATCACCCACTGGACAAAACCTCCCCAGAAACTTGTGACATTCTTCATATTGCGGTGTAATTCTGTAGTAGAAATAGAAAAAAAAAATCTGAAACTGTCTTTTCTTATACATTCTGGAAATCTGAAAATGAAATTAAAACTTTAGTCCCTTTTTTCTTAAGTATCCAACATTTAAAGAGAGCAGGTAACTTCCACAAAGCAAAAATGGGTAATCACAAAGCAGTTGAGCTGAAATATTTTGAACTATATGTATACTGTACATACCGAATCCCAAATGCAGATAATCATTATTTATTATGAAATTTATTTAAATGCAGGTATACTCAAAAATAGATTCCTTTTAATTCTATAAAGCAACTTACTAGACAGTCTGGATATAAATTATCACAGCTCTTTAGTTTTTTTAAAAAGCATAATTTCCAATTATTGCCCAACAATGTGAATAAATTTGTTATTTTTATTCCACCTTTCAAAAAGATCACCAGAAATTCATTTGTTTTCTTCATATGAGAGATAGTGACAATGTATACACATTTGGCCATGTGAAAAAGAATTTTAACTACACAATTCATTGCACTTAACTCGAACATTTATTCCTTTTATATGTCAAGTTGCAATCTTCCATAAGCCATGGTCCATCAACTGAGGGGTTCATGAATATAGACCAGGGCTGTCAAACTGCTGGCCCACGGGCCGGATGTGTCATGCCGAAACCGCGCCCATCCCATTGCCAGCAATGGAAAAAAAGTCAAGATATATCACGTCACATCACGTGATGAGTTTGACACCCCTGATATAGACCTTCAGTGATCATTATGCTTTTGGTCAATTAAGACTTTTATATAATGCTTTTTCACAAGACAGTGTACATCAGCTTACCAACATTACTCATAGTCATGCCACTTGCAATATACTTCGCCAACAGGAAGTACTATACTAGTGAGTTTGGACACATTTTAACAGTATACAAATGTAGCCAAAGTTCAGCTTTACCCCAAGCACATTAACTCTATTCTATGCAAACCAACTACCTCTTACTTAGAGACTATTTTGCAAGCCAGCATAAGTTTACCACATTCAAGTTCTTTCTTCTTGCTTTTAAGAAAATAGTCTTCACTCCCCAAAATTACACTGAAGTAAACTTGTTAGCCATTAAGTCTACATTTTCTTTTAGAGGGGTAATTCTTATCTCTGCAGATGTGGGTGTACTCATTCACCATGTGAAACCATCAACCAGGAGAGGAGTATAAATAAACAAGAAACCTCTAAACTAAAAGGATAAACGAAAAGATATAATAAAACTTCTGTATACTTGCCATAACAGGTGAAAATTTATTAATACTATAATAACTTCACAAGCGTCCATGAAAGGAAGCCCTTTTTCATTTTTTAAAGCTTTAATCTGGTATAATTTATTGCAGTAGAATATGGACTAAATACTGGACCCTGTAATTGCTATATTGAACCCTTTAATTCAGTGATGGTAAACCTTTTAGACACGGAGTGGCCCAAAAACACCCTGCCCCCGCTCGCTCTGCCCCCTGCCCCGCCTGCCCACAGGGCCACCTACCACTTCCATGACCCACTGCAGTTTGCCCAGGTGGCCCTGCAGCACCATGGCAGCCAAGCCCTCTACCAACATCCCGCAGCATCATCTGTGATGAGGTGCGAGGGCGGAGTCTTGTCCCTGCTGCCTGTCTCCTATGTCCTTGGCCGCATTGCTCCGTGTGGGCCACGCCCGGGGGCAACTCTCCTCTGGGGGGGTGCTGGTGAGGAGGGGCCCGCGGGGGAAGGCGGGGCTGCAGCAACATTGCACATGCCCACAGAGAGGGCTCTGAGTGCCACCTCTTGTACCCATGCCATAGGTTCGCCACCACTGCTTTAATTGATTCATACCCTAGTACTAACTATATCATTTTATTAAATGAATATATTTTTATATAGTCAAATAATGCCTTTTTTAAAATAAAATGTATATTGCATAATCATCAAGCACAGCTAGATGCAGGGATCCAAATCCAAAGGAATATTAATGCAATAAGATAAAATAGTTTATTACTAAAAAATTAAATTATTCAAAATTAAGATATAAAAGATATTTCTAGATTAGTAGGCACTTACATTTTTCCTGGTCCTGAGATTGTTTTAGGTAAATTGAAAAATTTTAAACTAGCATATTAGAATATTATAATCTATATATGCTAAATATTATATTATCTTAGTGTTTGCAATTTTAGTTCACAGCCATTTTTGAATTAATGAATTTTAGATCTTTAATATCATTTTGCATTTTAACCTGTTCAGTTTTATGCCTTCCGCAATGCTCTGCCTAATTCAGATATTTTGAAATCTGAAAACCTTGTATGTTCGCCAGGTATGATACCCAATGCACAGTATGTAAATATTCATAGATCTTCTTACAACAGCCTCAGTTTGCAAAAATATCTTTTACTATGAGCAAACATGTAGTAGTTTGTCCCCATAATTCATCATTTAGCCAGCGATAATTTTCCACAACCCTCCTGTTCCTCTATAAATCTTTTATATGATCTCCCAGCATTTCTGGTCCTTTTTAATTAACAATGCTTTGCCATGGCTTATCTTCCTTTCACAGCACAATGTGGAAGGCACAATGATTTTTCTCTTTTGCGTTGATTGGGGGCCTTTTTCAGGCAAAATACGATTGTCTGAATCTTTCACCTGGATTTTTACACCACCCTTGCTAAATTGCAGTGAAGCATGATGATAAATTGGGCCAATTGTGTTTATTCAATCCACCTCATCCATACAACTATTGCATGGCTGAACACAACAGGGGTTCCAGATCCTGGAGTCTGCATCCTAATGTCCATCCTGTCTGTCTTCTCCCTGATCAGGATCAGCCTATGGGCCTCCTTAGGATCAAAGCTTCTGGACTGACATTCCTTCAGCTAAGAAGTTCCTCGGGAGCTGTTGTGGAATAAAACGAAAGGGAAAAATCCTGTATTTCTTGCTGGGGGTAAAAAAAAAGGCACGGTACAAAAAGAGGAATTACACAGAGAAGGCTTCTTGTTCTGAAACTTGCGCTTCCACCTGCAACCCCCACCTGCGGACAGAATTTCCCGATCTCTTTCCCCCAGTTAATTGTCTATGGCGTGAACCAAACACGCATGCGCCCTCCTTTAATCCATCTTTGGAATCCAGGCCAGCAGGTATTTCACCTTTTTGCCGGGCGCAAGCGCATTGGCCCGTCCCCACCGGCCCTGCTCTAGCAGGTGTATCGCCTCTTTCCTCTTTCTCCCGCAGAAGCAAGCGCGCAGGCGCGTTAGAGCTCGCAGGTGCGGTGGGGCTGTCCCTTCCGGCGCATGCGTGCCCTGCTCACCGTCTCACCCCATCCCGATTCCCCTCCCTGGAGGTGCAGGTGCCAGCGCTAGGCAGCCCGGCCGGCAGACGCACGCACGCACCAACGTACGCACGCACGCCCCCTCTGCTTTAGCTCCCGGGCAGGCGAGTTTGCGTCTGCTATTCCGCAGAGCCAGGCGGGAGGCAGCGGGTTTAGTGGAAGGCGGCCGAGCAGCGACCCGCTGCTGCTCTCCCCTTTCGCCTCGCGGACCCGACCTTCGAGTTTCCGCGCGGCATGAACCGGGTCCAACGAGGTGGAGGAAGCAGTGGCAGCGGGGGAAGCCACGGCCTCGGCACTATGGAAGTGAAGAGCAAGGTGGGTGGCGTCCGCGAAGCAGAGTGGGAACTGGATAGGCTTCCTCGTGTGTGGCTTCAGTGGCTGGGAGAGGGAGGAAAATCCCCCCCAAAAAGTCCGATTTTTTAAAATTGTAGTTAAAGGAGGGAAGACAACATTGCTAAGGGAGGCGGCTGTCTTGTTTCGGGGCGAGGAAGGGTTTCGTTTAATTAAGGATTGGCTTTTATTACCCCTTTGTAGCAGAGGGTGAATGTGTTCCTGACCATGTAGAGAGGGCCTTTCTATTGAGGACTTAATAATCCCATCCACCTATTTGGCACTCGCGTTGTACCTGCTGTAGGGTGAAGGGAAATAGTTTCGATCAGAGGTGGTGACTACAGTTCACCGCCAACCTTGAATTACGACCTTTTTCTTTTAAAAAAAAATCCGATAAGGATTAGGATGTGATTATGTACTAAGAAGAAACAACATTCCGTGTGTGTTACCTTTGTGGATTGATGATGAATTGCCCACCCCAAACAAACTTATCTCATTTTTTGTCACTAAAACCTACCCCTACCCTCCCTCCTTCTTATGACATGTTAGGTGACATTCATATGGGATTAAGTGTCAGCTATAAAGTGAGTCGAACTAGGTAGTAATTTTGTCCCCAGAATCCTGCTTCATAAAAAATGTATGGTACTTTAAATGAGTAGGTGCAACAATTGCACTATAGGAATTCACTAGAAGATGACTTAACTCTTCTGAGTTAAGTATTAACCATTTTGTTTTGTACAGGAAAATGCTAGAATTCCCTGTTACCTTTATAATCTATGTGTTTGGAAAGATACAGTAAGAAGCTTTAAAGGGAATATGGATGATTATAGAAGTAGGAGATGTAGGCCAATATTCATGATTGGTATAAACTAATAGGGTGTGGTTATGTGTAGGCATTACCTCTTTGCCATAGTTTGCGTTCCGCTCTATACACAGCATATTTGTTCCTTGCTGTAATAACTAGTTTTGCCCAGACAGAAGAATCTCAGAAATTATAATAGAATTCTATTCTTTTGCTATTTGTGGGAGAAGTATTCTTGTTTTTATCAAGTATCTGTCTTACCTGAGGAAGCAGTGATTAGTCACCATATCTATTTCCAGGCATAGCCGTTAATCCACAGATTCTGCAGTGTGCCATACAACCTTAGATAACGTTTAAAAGATGTTATGTACTACATTATTTAGAAGTTGTCCTCAATATCTTTATATTTTTTTAGCTTAAACATTTTTAATCTGGTTGCAGATCAGATCACATTTTAAGAACTTGTAAAATCTCTTATGAACAGGGTGTAGGGGATGCCATTTTGAGCCTTCTGTTTCCTTTAGCCATGGAAATTTAAGTATACCCTTAAGTATACCAGGATACTGTAAGCATTTTTGAAATTGTGCACATCTAGGTGCTTGCGTTCTGATATTAAAAGTTAACAAACTGATGTAATAATACAATTTTACAGTGGATTATTTTTGAAAAAAGCATAGACTAATTTCCATTTTAGGGGATTTGGGAATATTCAGAGGCCCTGAATATGCTAATTGTATCTGTACAAAATATGTACCCTGAGGTGATTTCTAAACTTCTGTGTTCTTGTACACACCCAAGTACATTATACTTTTCTATAGATTAAGCTGCTCTTTTTATTATTTGTGTAGTCATGCCACAAATTAAAGAGGTACACTGTGATACACATGACATTTTGAGTAACAGGATGTGTCATACTATAATCTGACTAGGAGGGAACATTTTATCATTCATTTACTTTTGTGTTAACTATTAGTAGATATGGTGAAGTGTTTTGGCATTGTTCTTTATTAAGAGGAAAAACTATGTTTTGACAGTAATTGCTATGAGTTATAGTTTAAATCCTTTTATTGATGATAACTAAAATTTTAGATAAGCAACAAATGTGTTCCTTAAAAAACATTTACCTGGCCTCCAGGGTTTTAGATTTAATGTGAAATACAATCTGCATATTCTTGTTTCCCTATTTATATAGTGAGGTTTACCACTCCTTTAAAATATTAATGTATTCCTAATCTAAATTCTCTGTACTGTATTTCCTTTTTTGTAACTTTCTTTTTACTAAGACAATTTGCTTGCAATGGTCACCATATCGCAATAATTTGTAGATTTTACAGATTGGCTGCATTTCTAAACTGCAAGTTCCAAAGCTTTCTGAAAATGAAGGTATAACTGCAGTTCCTAGTTGTATCTGAGTAACAATATTTTTTGTGTATTGCCACTTTTCATGTTTCTTTTAAACATGTACTGTTGCATACAGAAAACAGGGCATGAAATCAATCTTTCCTAAAGCTCTAATGTTTATTTCTTTAATTATGAATAACAAAAGCTAATGAATATAAAATGTTTATTTATCTTTTCCTCATAACTATACATCTGTTAGTGATCTGTAGTGAAACTTGATGAAAATAAGTGGGAAAATATTTATAGAATCATGTAAAAGGACCATAAAGCAGAGAACTAGGGTTTTTTTGCACGTGCATGCATTGAATTTTGTAGTAAAAATTACAGTCTAAAAATTCAATGTATATGAAGAATCCAAATCAGAAAAAAAAACTGACTGGCACCAGTCAGGGGGAATATGTTCCATCCATGTTATATTCCTGTGTAGCAAATATCATTATTTCATGATTGCATCTTCAACACTACTTGCATTTTGAGAAGATATCTAGCACTACAAATATTATATATATATTTTATATATATTTAATTTGGGAAAGTGAACAATCCTGAAGGTGTGGGATAGACTTAAAACAACCTTTTATCCTGAACAAGAGTGGAGCCTGGAGATTATCATATTTTTCCCTTTCATCTTTCATCTGATCCTTGATCTTTTAACTATGGCATGATGATGTGGTCAGGAGAAGAGATTTTTTTTTAATCTCTATTACCCTCTTAAGTATACGTCTGTTTATGATCTGTAATGAAGCTTAATAAAAATAGATGGGAAAATAATTATAGAATAAAGTAAAAAAAATTAAAACAGAAAAAATGTGTGGGTAATTATTTTATAAATACAAGAAATACACAAACAAATAAGACATCATGGAGGGAAATGTAATGGCATACAAGAAGAAAATGAATAAGCTAAGGGAGCAATCTTCGAAAGCACTCTAATGAAGATGGAAGAGTAATAATAAATGCAGGCTTAGTTTTCTTTACTAAAAAAAACAAATTTTCAGCCCTGTGGAAAATGTATCAAATCTCAAACAAGTGTACTATGGAAAACCAATATGGTGTCTGATCTAGTTTTTAGTATGGAAGCTCCCTGGATGACTTTGCATCGGTCACTTTCTCTTAATCCACTTTTTATATAATGCAATGTTATTATTGTTATAGGACAAAAATAGGTCTTTTCTGGTACTTAGGTATAAGCACACAGTGAATAAAAATACTAATACTGAACAAGATTGTCTTGGGTTGGCTTGGCTTGGATCATGGAAAAGTGAGGGAACAAAGCATAAGGGTTGCAGAGTAAATATTTGGAAACAGCCTATAATTCTACCAATGTGACAGAAGTTACTCATGCAGTTTTTTAAAATGTAGATATACAAGTATGACAACATAACACATCTGTTTTGTTTGATTATTGTATAATATAAACTTAATAGACTATATAGGATTTTATTTATTGACTGATTTGGAAAATTTATATAGTTGTCTACTTGGTCACAGCAACTCTAGATGGCTTATAAACAAAGATGTTTACAAGAATGCAAGATGGTTTGAAATTAAGCCCATTTATTTAAATACTTTACAAGCCAAGGTGGAGTATTGAGGTGGTTCTCTTGCAGTCTAGTCAACCTCATAGGATTGTTGTGATAATAGAAGGCGGGAGGTATTTTAGGTAATACAAATAAAGCTGAGATATAAATCTAATAAAAAGACTTAACAGGAATGATTTTTTATTACTTTGATCGGTTCATCCATATGTGATAACTGTTTTCACAACTAGTTCTAAGTTCAGATTTTATCATTGTATTATTGACTGCTAAAATTATGAACCCTATCCTTTCCTGAATTAGGAAGTGCCATTCCCAGTTGCTAATGCCTTGATCATCTCAATTGCAACGTGGTCTACACTGGGCTGCCTTTGAAGAGCACTTAGAAGCTACAATTGACCCAGCATGTAGTGATGCAGACAGTATGCCTGTGTTGCACCATTGCTCTGCAAGCTGCGCTAGTCCCCCAAATAGACTTCAGGGTGACAATTACCACCTATAAAGATCTTCATGAGGCAGGGCTATTTGTGGGACTCATTATCTGATTATCTCTGCCTATCCCACTAACTCTGGCAAGGTAGGCATGTTCCAGGTCCCATCTGTTAAGCAATACCAACTGGTGGGATCAAGAAGCTTGCCTTCTCTGTCATTGTGCCTGTCCTTTGGAACACCATGTCCCTTAAGATTCATTTGACCATAAACCTGCTGACATTGTGTATATCTTTGTAAACCTGGATGTTGTCTTGAACGTCTGGGGGTCTGGAAATTGATTGAACCTATCTGTGACTATGTAAAATGGTCTTGTAAAATCAAGGGGGTCAGGAATCTCTTGAAGATTAAGGCAAAATCTCCAGCCGCAAGTCTGCATGTAAGCCTCTGTAAAATTTAAGTCAAATTCAGACCTCCGCGACTTGGAAATGTATCAAGTTTCTTAAAAATTTAGGCCAAGCAAGTTGAAATGTTACTTGAAATTCACGTACACTTGAACTTCAGTTTAAAAACTGTTCAAACATGCATGTATATAGATTTCCTAGTGCTGTAAATAATATTTGCTGTTACTTTGGCTCGTTAGTAATTTCTGTTAGACTTCTGTAGGTGTGGGTGCAGTTGCTTGTTTCTCTGCATTTTGACTACTTTGGTTTTAAAGGTTTTGCATGTTTATCTTGACATTTTTTAAAACATTGTTAGCAGAACTGGAAAAGCGTCTTCATCTTTAGGCTTTGTCTATTGATTGATTGGACTCAAATGTAGAAAATATCATTTGAATCTTTTCTCCATTGCTATTTCTGTCAGAGGCATTGTGAGATGTACAGAGTGCAGCATATTGGAATATCCACAGGTGCAACTGTTGGACAAGGAAACTTATAAATTCCTCTTCTACTTGCACATCTAATATACAGGCTTAAATAATTATGTAAGTGACATGCATGAACCAAAAAAATCTAGCATCCTGTCCATTCAGGTGTAAAATGCTTCTACCACATTCCTTATTAAATAATAGCCTCCAAAGCTAGGAAGGTAATGATTTAGAAGGATGTAGAGAAGTACTTTGGTATTTCCTTTCAAAATGAATTTTAGATTATGAAGTGAGTGAGCAAGAACATGGAGCATTTTGTAACAGAAGAGCATATAAAATTCAATTGTAGTTGAACCTGAAAAGGGGAAATGGTTTACGAGATTTACTGTGTAATCTTGTGCTTACTTACTGAATAGCCAGATTCTGTTGGATAGAGAACACATTTGTTGGAAAGAAAAATTTACAAATATATAGATCCATTTGTTTGCTGTGCCGTAATTACTGTTTTTCAAGTTACTGAATATTATATGTCAAATCATGTATGAATGACAAGAATCTTGGGAATAGTGAGAATGAGGAAGACCAGTGGCTTGACATTTATTTATTTAAGAAAATTTATATGACCACCTAACTCACTCTCAGTGACTTTACAAAAATAAAAACCCTATATAAAAACAATAAAAAGCAATAACCTCACCCCCACCTTCTGGCAATAACAATCAATGAAATAAGCCACTTGATGAGCTCCATCCCACTTTGTTGGCAAAACCAGGTCTTCACGGCCTTGTGAAAGAATATCAGAATGGGGACCAAACATATCTTCATGGGGATGATGTTCCACAGAGAGGGAGCCACCATGGAAAAGGCCCTTCTTCTTCTTGGTCCTGCTGGATGTACTTCCTCCCTCTGGAATATAATGTGGGAACAGTTGCCCTGTTTTGCCATGCTTGATTGGCAGTTCCACCATCTTATTTCAATGGGATTTTGGTCATAGTGTGTTTGTGTATTACCTTTCCTTTAATGTGTGATTCTGTTTTAATGGGGGATGGGAAGTTTGTTTTTGTCTTGTGCTTTATTTTCCTTGTGGTGCACTATCCAAAGTCTTATGGTCAGACCAGACCAAAAAAAAGTTAAATAAGTTATATGCAATTGCAGTGTGTTTTAGCTTCTCAGATTTTAGCTTACTCACTTGAAAATTAAATATAACTGAAAATTTGCCTGAAATGAAAAATTACTCAACCCATATTTCTGTTCTTGTTGGGTTGCATAAACAGTCATGATAAGTGAAGTCCTTGATGCTCTCTGAGCTTGGTTGCTTGCTTGCAGATGTTTCATTACTCAACTCATGATGATATTATTTAGTGAAGTAATGAAGCATCTGCAAGCAAACAGCCACACTCCACATTAAGGACTCCACAGTTCAACTCTGAATTACATGTATTCTATTGTAGTCATGATAAGTGGGAATTCGCTATTTACCACATAGTATGTGGTATTGTAATGCAACGCTATATAGACATTTCAGAAATGATTGGGAACAAGAACTTTCATTTTCTTGGGTGCAATCCCTACCATGTAATTGACAATTTGACAGTTATAAAGTATTCTGATATATTTCCTATTGTCTGAGTGTTACTAATGTTTTCTGGTTCCTATAGTTTGGTGCAGAGTTCCGACGGTTTTCTTTGGAGAAATCAAAGCCTGGCAAATTTGAGGAATTCTATGGATTACTTCAGCATGTTCACAAAATACCCAATGTTGAGGTCTTAGTTGGATATACAGACATTCATGGAGATCTCCTACCAATTAATAATGATGACAACTACCACAAAGCAGTCTCTACTGCTAATCCTTTGCTTCGGATTTTTATTCAGAGGAAAGGTAAGCATTTAATTAGTATTATAGCCTTCAGTAAGTTTCTTTGTGTTAAATGGATGCTATTTTTAATTTTTTTCTTTTTTTGCTGGAATTAAACTTAGTGCTGGCTTGAGAATTCCTGAATGATTTAATCCTGAATTGCTTCTGTCCATTTTGTCTTGTTACACGATCTAAAATTGTACAAAGTGCAGTAGGTTCCATCTTGTTTCATTTTGTTTCAGTACATAAGATTAAATGGAATGGTGCTTTCCCTCTCCCCACATTTTTGACAGGGCATGGTTGTCAACTGAAACACCTTTAATGTAATCCTTGGATCATGCCTTATAAGTTTGATATCAGTCTCACCTCCTTTGTAGCATTTGAATATTGTTTGCTGAGTTTGATCATGAAGGAATACATGCACAATAGTGATAGTTAATTGCAAATTTAAAATAAAAACACCAGCACAATTACATGAAAAAATATAATTTGATTATCTTAGATGGCATATTAAGAAACAGAGTCTTAGTCTTAAGTTTTAAAATTATTCATGACTTCTACTTAATTTTTTTTTTTAAAAAAAAGCTCTATTGAGAAGCTTTTTTATTAGATTTTTACCCTGCCATTATCACTTTTTCATAAGTAACCCAATGGGGTGAACCTCCTCCTCTTTTTCCCCACAATAACAACCCTTTGAGGTGGGTTGGACTGAGTGAGAGGGACTGGCCCAAAGTCACGCAGCCAGCTTTCATGCCAGAGGTAACATCTCTGATTCTGCCCTTCTTCAGATCCAGTCAGCTATGATTGGATCAAGAAGGAGCCTCTTGGCTACATATTCCTCCCTTTGTGTTTTCATTACTTCTACTGTTGCCCAAATGAGAGAAGCTGCAATTTAAGTGCTGTGTACCAATAAGATATGCTGCTTCCTTGGGCAAAGAAAAAAAAAACTGGCTGTGTTTGTGTGTGAAATGAGACTTGTTGTTCTTTAGATATAAAATATGTTTTATTGGTCTAAAAGGTTTCTTTGAATTAGACTGCAATTCTTATGAATTGTTTTTCTCCAGAAGAAGGAAGTGGGGTTGTGTGAAAGAGGAGAGGGAAGGGAAATTAGCTGATTCTTCTTATGCTTCTACAAGCTATCAGCTCAAGGAGAACACGCTAAGACAGTGGTTCTCAACATTGTCAGCTTGAAGATGTGTGGACTTCAGACTGGGGAATTTTGGGAGTTGAAGTCCACACATCTTCAAGCTGCCAAGGATGAGAAATCTCAGATTTAACAGGATACCACAGAATACCATTACATCTGGGTAGTCCTTGACTTATGACCATAATTGAGCCGAACATTTCTGTTACTAAGCGAGACAGTTAAGTGAGTTTTGCTCCATTTTAGGATCGTTCTTGCCACAGTTAGGTGAATAATGCAATAGTGAAGTTAGTAACATGGTTGTAAAATGAATTTGGCTTCCCCATTGACTTTGCTTGTCAGAAGGTTGCAAAAGGTGATCATGTGACACCAGGACACTGCTACTATGAGCCAGTTGCCAAGCATTTGAATTTTGATCACATGGCCACGGGAGGCTGCAATGGTTGTAAGTGTGAAAAATGGTCATAAGTCACTTTTTTTAGTGCCACTGTAACTTTGAACGGTCACGAAATGAATGGTTGTAAGTTGAGGACTAGCTTTAATAAACACTGAAGTAAGGTATCTCAAGATAGATATGTGCATTTCAAGTTAAGCAGTGAGAACTGCAGCTGCTCTGTATGGAATGACGGGCAGATATGAATGAGTTGGAACAAAGGAATCTCAAGAGCTAGAGGAAGGAAGGAAGAACGAATCAATTTTTTTGACTTTGTTATATTTTTTACATGGAGGACTAGAGATACAGAAGTCAACAATAGAACCTTTAAATGTATTTTGGGGACTATATAATGGTTCTTGGCAAATTTGCGAGGAATGGGGGATTTTTTGATTTTGGGCACATCAAAAGAAAAGGCCTTGTCTCCAGTGACCATTGCTTTGAATCCCCCTCCCCCCAGTTGAAAGGTGGGGCTAATTTGGATGGATGGATGGATGGATGGATGGATGGATGGATAGACTGACAGACAGACAGACAGATAGATTCTAAAGAATAAACACAATTTGGAAATACCGGTTGTCTTAGTTAAAATGTAAGTTTATTTATAGAGGGCTTGAAATATATTTATCTGATATAGCTAATAAAATGAAAAATCCATTGGTATTTCAACCTTTCTATGAGTCAGGTCTAACTGATGTTCTCTTGTTCAAAGTACCTTTGATAGAAAACTTATTTGGCTACTCTGAAATGTGTACTAAACATAATGATGGGGAAGCTGAATAGTGAATGGTGGCTGAACATTGGTAAACAATGGAATACACATTCCAGCAGCCAATTTCATGTATAGTCAGTGTATCAGGTCATTGTATTGTACTCTGGAATCTAAATAGCTTGGATATGCCAAGATAGTGTCTATTTCTGTGTTTTACAGTCACACAAAGAATCCATTCTGCTTCTGAGTGAAAGCAGAGGCCCGTTGGTTGCCCCAGTCACTCTCCTTCAATGGCAAGTCATAATTATTGAAACCCAGAGCCAAATAATCCAATTGTTTACACAACCATATATTTAAGACCACAGTCCTAACACAAGTAACTCCCATTGTATTGCATGCATACAAGTAAAGATGTTTGCCATTCTGCTCGCTCCTGTTTTTTGATATCAAAGGTTTGCTCCTGGTGTTTTTAGTTTTCCCCACATTTCTATCATATGTATTTCCCCCAGTGTCAATTTTGATAAGATCTAAGCTGAGTCTCTTGAAGCAAGAGACTGATTCATAAGTCAAATTTAGCAACTGTGGCTAAAGTCCTTTAATAGTCATATGATTAGAGCAAATCCACTTTGTAGGGATGGGATTATTTCTTACATTTAAGCATCATGTATGTATATTGTTTCTCTAACAATGTATACATAATGCATCCATATTTTCTGATGAACTAAAAGAGTTTTGCAGTTCTAAGTTTGGATAAGAAACAGCTCCTGTTTCTTCCAAAGATATTGAAATTTTATATTGATTTTACAAATACTGAGAACTGGTTCTTACAATATATTTGTTCAGGGTTTTTTTAATTACAGCTCTGTCATGGCTAAAATATTATTACATTCTGGGGGGGTCATATGTGGCAACTTTCTACGTTTTAGCTCCTAACCTGTGGCTAGGCTCATTATAAATGTTAATCCTTTATCTCCCCTTAGCCTGTATTTTATCTGTGGGAAAGGTTTTGAAATAATTGTTCATCAACTGCTTGGTAATTCAATAATTCTTTACAAATTCTAAAAATAGACATTGGATATACTAAAGACCTCCTTTACAATTATACTGTATAGAAATGTTTTCAGTACCCAAGTCTTGAAATTTATGATACAGAATTACTTTGAAATGCTGTTTAGAGCATTGTGTAGATTTTTGTGTGTGTATCTTTATGTTATGTGCAGTGGTTCAGCAGTTAGACAAGCTGAGCTTGTCAGCTGGAAAGCTGACAGCCTGGATTCAAGACCCAGAGGCTGCATAACATGGTGAGCTCCCATTACTTGCCCCAGTTCCTGTGCACCTAGCAGTTTGAAAGCATGCAAGAGAAGGACGAGTGGGGACAGGATAGCAGTGTTCCAATATCTCAGGGGCTGCCACAAAGAAGAGGGAGTCAAGCTATTCTCCAAAGCGCCTGAGGGCAGGACAAGAAGCAATGGATGGAAACTAATCAAGGAGAGAAACAATCTAGAACTAAGGAGAAACTTCCTGATAGAACAATTAACCAGTGGAACAACCTGCCTCCAGAAGCAATGAATGCTCCAACACTGGAAGTTTTTAAGAAGAGACTAGACAGCCATTTGTCCAAAATGGTGTAGGGTTTCCTACCTGAACGGGGTTGGACTCGATGACCTCCAAAGTCCCTTCCAACATCATCATCATCATTATTATTATTAACTGCGAGTAGATAAATAGGTACCATTTCAATGGGAAGATACCAGTGTTCTGTGCACTTCAGCATATAGTCATGCTGGACACATGACCACAGTATTCGGACAATACTGACTCTCTCCGCTAAGAAACAGAGATGGGCACCACCCCTTAGAGTAGGACACAACTGGACAGGGGAAACCTTTACCTTTACTTTTATATTTTAATTGCAATTCTTTAACCAGACTTGATTCTTACAGAGTAGGTTGCTTTTTGCTTTTATGTATCTGAACTCGGTGACAAAGTTTCTTGCACATTACATTTAGTCACGCTAAATGAGATTTCTGCAAAATTATGATCTCAGGAACCTTAGGAAGAAAACCAGGACCTGTTCTCTCTCATTCTGGAGTGCAGGACATAGAATAATGGATCTGTGGTAAGGGGAAATAGATTCTCATCAGCTAGAAAAAACCTTCCTAAAATAGAAGCAGTTCACAATTGTCTCCCCTTTATTGGATCTGCTTAATCAGAGGCTATATGGCAATCTATCTGTGGTTTAATTTGGATTCCAGCCCTAAACAGAGTATTGACCTAGGTCAGAGGTCTCCAACCTTTCCGGGCTCATGGACCGGAGGGTAGGAGAGTAGCTGGTATGGCACTAGTGGCCCTGTTTGTGCATGCAGCATGCGCTGGCACCGTGCTCATGTGCAAATAGCCATGCACACCTCCGCAGTGGCTAGTGGCCCTGTTCGTGCATGCGCAAATGGGCAGTGCAACCACGTGGGCTAGCGTCCCTATTTGCGAAAACGCAAAAGGGCTGTGGACATCCACCCCACGCCAGTGCACAAACAGGACCACGGATGCTAGCGAGTGGAGGGTGGGAATGCGCGCCCACACGTGCATGCATTGGCCATCCATTTCCGTGGCCCGCTGGCCAAGAGCCCACAGCCCATAGGTTTGGGACCCCTGGTCTAGGTGGCTTCTTTCAACTCTATGGTTAAAAATAGTTTTTCTGAAACAAAATATCCAGAAAATTGATCATAGTTCAGTGA